ACTGCGTATGAACAGTGGCAAAGGCGGGGGTGGAACTAGGAACAGTGGAGGGCAGGTGTTTGGATGAAATTTAGCCAAAGGAAGGCGGAGGAAAGGTGTTTGCTTCAGTGTGTGTTTTCTTTTTTCTCAATACCTGAATCGGTGATTAGAAGTTTGTGTTAACTGGCAACTAAGTAAAAACTGCCCAGGTTGATACTGTTGTGGAAGACAGTGTTGGAGCATCATCTACTGCAGTGACTGCCTCACGGTCAAGCTACGGCTGGCTTTCCACAGGGAGGAGCTTCCGAGTGTAGTTGGCTGCTGCTCTGTGTGGGTGAATACTTCAGAAGAGGGGCTGGGATGGAACTCCCAGGCACTCTTGTCCCCCAACCAAACACTGCAACGCTGTCATGTGTGGATGGTGACCCTCGTGCCGTCCTCCTTCCTGTCGTGCCTAGATGGTGACCCTTTGCAGTCCTCCTTGGAGCATGGGCCTTGCTGTCCTCTCAAGAACAGAGCCTTGCGGGTGAGGCCCTCTGAGAGCTGACACCTGGGCAGCAGCCACCATGCCGGGACACTTCCCAAGTCTGTCACCAGCCACGTGTTCAAAGCAACACAAAAAGCTTTTTCTCAAAGGCAGTTTGTGTGTTTACTGCCGAGATATACAGCCATGAGAATAAAATGTTGAAATCACCCAAGCCTATACATGCATCTTGTCTGAACTACCTTTTCCTGTGGTTTGAGGGAGCTCAGCATCGCACAACTGTTGCCCAGCGTAGGGCAGGATGTCACTCTCTCTGCCTGTCTGCCTTGAGAGCAACCACTGGTAGATTCATCCTACACCTTGGTTTTCAGGGGAGAGTTTTCAACAGCTCGCTGCCTTTTTTGTGTTCTGGTCTTTAGGCGGGGAGAGCAGTCTTTCAGCCCAAGACAAGGTAAGTTTATAGGCATTGCTCATGGCCCTATACCATGTTCCCATTTAGGACCCTCAGCACTTTCTACTGTCGCCATTTCCTTTCCTTTGTGGCCTTCCCAACACTCCTTCTTACTTAACTCCATGGGTTGAAAAACAGTGAAATAAACGGAGGGGAGACAAACGATAGCATGTGTGAAAATCAGCATGTGTGAAGGAAAGGAAAGACTCTGTTTTGGGGGACCAGCAGATAACTGCAAGGCATGCTCCTAAGGGAAGACTGTGCCGTGATTCTTGGCCACGGGAACGTTTCCCAGGGGGAGTATGTGCCAAAAGCTGTGACAGTTTAAGCATTTTAGCAGGTCCAATATGTGCCACCCTAGAAAAATGCTGAGGAGAGTGGGAATCTGGCGGAAGGTGCGAGGGCAGAGTCCTCATTGGCCCCCAAGGTACCAAAAATGGAAATGGTCTGATTTCTGACTGGAGGTATAAAAAAATAAAAAGGGCTTCTTCCCAGGACATCTTTGGCAGCACAGACCTTTTGGAGAGTAGCATTTCTGTCCCAAGAACCCCGAATGGCTCCATTAAAACAGTAAGTTCCAGATGACAGCTACATCACAGACTTATCTTTAGAGGGTAGTGCTGCTCCAGCTGAGATTTAAAGGCCTGTGCAGGTTCCCCTAATTTGATTAGAGGGCTGGCTTGGATGGGCAGGCTATTACAGCTTCAAAGGCACTAAAGCTGCCTGGGTGCTGATGAGTTTATGAAACATTGATTCTCACTTCATTGCAGCTCCCACAAAGAATTATTAGATCAGGTTAGCGATAGATACCTAATAAAGAATGTCTCTGTGAAGCAGTTTATTTCAGAGCAAGCTAGTTCCTGACTAGTAGACTGTGAAATCTACAGGTTCCCATGAGGATAAATATGCTGAAATAAACTGCAATTATATGAACACCCCCATGCACTCTTTTTTTTTAAAAAACTGACAAAAAGATGTCATTGTGTTAGCCTGAGCTGGAGGTACTTAGCATTGAATTAGCAAACAGACAGTGACAAAAGGTTTTCTCCTCTTAGTAGGCATTGCAAAACAACTTAAAATCTTTTCGTTTGCATGGGATGAGAGTTTGCAGCCAAAGACGAAATACAATCTGATGGTAAGTACCAACCTGTTCTGGCACTGATGGTGCCTGTTTCTCCAGCCACTCCCAGCTTCCCAAAGAATAGTCCAGGGAGCACCTGCAGAATCTCCCCCTCACGGGGACAGGGGGAAGTCCTGCCTGTTATGATCATGTTCCCTTTTATCTACTTGCTCGCTGCTATTATCATCTGCCCCTACAGTCTGTGCTTTCAGCTTCACGAATGTCCTCCTGCAAGGTTTCCTCAGCCTGCCATTCGATTTTCATTTGTGATGTTAAGATAAACCTAGAAAGCTTGCTATCAGGAGCTCTGAGATCACTGTCAGCCCTCTGGTGTTTTCCCTTTCCCAAAAACAAGGGAGTATCTGTATGGTTTTGGCCAGGAGATTACTTCAGGCAGGCAGATCCCAGGCAATTTGGCCAGGGGCTTTTATAAGTGGCAGCATCTTGCTTTTTTTAAATCACTTTGCTCTTCACTAACTGCTTGCTGGTCTGCGGGTAAAGTAATTTGTTTCCACCACCTTCCCATTGGAGTGGCTGGCTTCTGGGAGCGGTGTCCCCAGGAGAGTGCACTGTGGTTCTCTAGTAATCACACAGACAAACAGGAATTAATAATTGCCTGAGTGCACCAGCAATAAAAACGAAGACAAGAGGCAGAACTGTTGAAGAAGAGTATTAAGTCCCTGCCCTCCAGATTTATTCTGAGACGTGTTTGGTATTGCAAGGACTGCCTGGAAAATACATATTTAGCATTTCTCAGTCTTCTTGTGGGGAGCAGGCGGAACAGGCTGCAAGACGCCTGTGTCAGTGTTACCGCGGAGCCGGCTGATCTGATGACCAAGGGCTTTGAGGAGTCCCTTTCTTGCAAAGGTATTTCGTGTGTGTGATTCAGCACGGTTCATCCCGTGCTAACGCACATCGGTCCACATGCGGGATTTCAGTCTTTGAAGTAATTTTAGTCTATAGGACCTTTTTTCTGTTTGTGCAGAAAGTCTTTTCTTCAAGAAGATGAAATCCTTTCCCATTTACAGCTGCCCACGCACCTTTGACAATACCATATGCTATCTGGTATTAACAGAGGTGACAGCATTTCCAGTTTTCTTTTCTCCACAGATAAGTAGGAGTTTCTTCCCCCCCCCAAATCTTCCCCCTGCTTCTCCCCCTTTTTACCTTTTTTTTTTTCTCCCCCCCGAAGATGAAAGAAATGCAAAGCTTCAAGTCGGATTGCTTTGGGAAACACTTTCCTAGGTCCAATCTTTTCACTATCCCTGCCTTGTCATTAGGAAAAAAAAAATAAAAAATCTTCTCTCATAATATTTCAGCCAGGGACTCCTACCTACAGGACATCAGGAGTGATGATGTAGCCAGGAACAGGCATTTGTGGAGTACGGCGACCCGAGTTATGTACGCGGGACTGGGCAGGAGCCGCCGCTCCGGCCTGGCCGTTTCCTCGCTTTCGCGCCGCTGTCGGAGCGG